TATATATATCATTTAAATTCAACATTCATATGTGAATGAAAATTATGTAGACTAAGAAATCGTTAGTTATTACATGATTCTTGTATATGATGGACGTTCACATCGAATGTCGAGTATCAATAATTTATATGTTAATGATTAATTAGTGAATGCTCAAAGATTGTTATTAAAAATGTATATAGTAATCACTCATATGTGAATTAGCTTTTGTAAAAGTTAGGAGCAATTTATATTCACATTGTGAATGTGAATGTCAACAAGTCGAAAAAAATATATATATGTTTTATATACCGATATGGATGTTTGTTTGTAAAGCGTAAAAAACTATGAGTTTTAATGTTTTTGTTTTATTCAAAAAAATAAGCTATAAACAATTAAAAACAAAAGTTAGCAACTCTTCAATGATATTCATTACAAACATATGAATGATTATGTGAAAATTTATAAAAATAACATCTACAAAACAACTTTTGAGAAACCGGTCAATAACAATCGTTCTTTTTTATTTAAGGTTCCAAAAGATGTCCAAAATCGATCATTAACTAATTTACAATCCTACGTCTAAATTCACTATGATAAAAGTGGTAAAGTTGCAAATTTTTGCATCTTATTGGATCATTTATTTGATAGAACAATTTATATACATACTTTCAATAAAGATTATTGGAAAATTTGTACAAATTTGGTATTACATGGATTTTCGGATAAACCACTAATTTTTGTGATATGAACTTATTATGTTGCACAATTGGGACTAATACGGAAAGACAATGATGAATACCCAAAGCAAGACCAAACGAAACTAGACTAGAATGGCCTATCTATATAGCATTCAACACTGCTAGGACTCAATAGAACAAGATTGTTATTACTAAAAAGCATTTAGTTCATATCAAATGGTTGAATTATTTGACTTACTAAAATTTTGGACAAATTCTAGAATATACGTTAAGATTTACATAGTAACTCAAACACATATTATAAGGTTGATTATAAACTTACAACATAAGTACTCAACTCAAACAAAGATTGATTGAAACTTCATCATTTTTCCATTTAATTTACCAGAACTTAATAACTCAAAAGCTAGCAAAAACCAAATCCAAAGTAATTAATGAAATTAAAACCCCCAAAAAGTAATTGAAGCAAAAATTGTTGCAAATCAAATGATAGCATGCAAAATTTTAGATTTTGTTGAAGGCAACAATGTCACAACTCTGCACATACTCATTGATGGGCTCCACTGTAAGCCGCTCCTCTATCAGAGTATCCACCGAAACAAGATCATCCACAATCGTCATCATAATCGTCAGCTTCTTGATCCCATACCCAACTGGTACAAGTTTTGCTGCACATTGTACAACAATTTCTAATTACGTTGCAATTATGGGTAAAAAAAAGTATTAAGTTTGTTGTTAGATTGAGAAAGGAAATTAGCGTACATGCACCCCACAAAAGTCCTTCCATTTCAACACTGCGAACAGCTTCCTCAAGCTTCTTCATGTCTGTCTCATCATCCCATGGCTTTACATCCATAAGAACAGATGATTTGCCACCTGAATCAATTTATTTACCAAATTGCCATTTTATTAGAGCATATTAATGTTGTGAAAAGTTAAATAATAGTGAAAGAAAAAAAAAAGGAATTAAACTCGCTTTCTTTCTTCTTTGTTGATGCTTTTGCTTGATCACGTGCTTCAGCTGCCTTCTTTTCCTCCTCTGTCTCGTCACCAAAGAGATCCAGGTCATCGTCCTCGTCAGCAGCATCTTCCTGAAATATCCATGAGATCAAAAATGGTCCACGAGTTCATTATTTTGTTCTTGTAATTAAATTGACATTTAAAAATATATATATACATATATACACATTACACACCTTGGCAACTCCATTGGTAACTCCATTGACAGCTCCATTGACAAGAGCAGCTTCTGCTGATGGAGCTTGGGCAGAAATTCTCACCCCAGCTGCTTTACCAGGGAAACTGCAATAAATAAATAAATAAAAATAAGGATGCAACATCTTCTTTAATGGTGATTGTTTGCCACAATAAACAAAATATCAACAAGTGTAACATTAGATACAATCATACAAAACTAAGAATCCACATCAAAGGCAATAGGCATAAAAATATACCATGTCCATGAATAAAAGTTGTAAAGAACACATTATTGATAATTCACTAAGAAATTGACATCGATACTATATTACTAACACCAATTGCTATAACGATCACATGATACATATTACAAAAACGTTTAGATCATAATGCGGATCACATTAAGAACAAACACTGAAGCAACCCGAATTTTACAATAACGAAAGTGTGATTATCGAACAAACCTTGTTGCAAGTTTCGAAGCAACGCAGTCGTACCACTTGCTGGCAGAGGGATAGAGATCTGCATTGGGTTTTTCCAAAACAGCAGCGTAAACCTTCACATCATCCTTTGTAATTTGATTCCTGTAACATAAACATAAAAATAAAACCAAATTCAAACCACGAAACATAAGATAAATTAACCCCGCATATACTACGATAGAAAACGATAAATACGAACCCGGAGATGTATGTCTTCCCGGAGAGGAAGGATTCGAGGAATCTGAGGCCAGCCTCGGTGTGAAGATCAGAGAAAGTAATGACAGCCATCTCTTCGGAGTTTCAAGTGAGAAAGTGAGAAGATTGCGAGGGGTTGTAGGGGAAGAATTGGAGAAATGGTTATTGTTAGTCGCCAAGAAGAATGCGGAATTTATAGTTACACTGGGAAATGATGATCGAAAAAGTGACGCGTACAAACCCTAGGATGGAGAGAACCCGAAGCCTCTTCGGCTGATGATAATTATGAGACGTGCCAAAATTTTATTGAGCTATTAAGGAAAAATATCCTGTATGTTATTCACTAAAATAATACTACATATGAAAGATTAAGGAAAAATAATTAACGATGCAACACACAATATAAATATAAAGGATTAATCAAATCATTTGTTTGCTGCAAAGGCATGCCACAAAGATCACTTCAAAAGGGAGAGTATGAGCATGACTTTCAATCCTTAATGTTGCAAGATAAGGCTAGGAAGCATGACTAAGGATTAATCCAACATTTGTTATCAAAAAAGGTCTAAGATCAGCCTAAAAACAAAGTAAAAGTACATCTACCTCTTTTAATAAATGAAACCTAAAAATGACACGTGTTAGTTTTTAAAATGTTTCTTTGACACGTCACATTTTTCTATAATTTTTATTATTTGCTTTTTTTGGTAACAAATCAAATTCAATTTAAATTTTAAAAATACAAAATCATATCCTAATAACATTATTATGTTTATTTTGCTTAACAAATTAATTTATAATTACTTACAATTGATAATATCATTTTTTTTTTACATTTACTATTTTTTTATCTATATAAAATTTTTAAATCAACCAATCGTGGTTTCGACTGGTTATAACCTAGTTATATAATATGACTTTCCCTTGATGATATCATATTTATAATATATGTAATTTACTATACTTTTTCAAACAAAATTATATCTTCTATAGTAGGTGTAATAGTGGTTTTTTATTTAGCAAATAGCATCTATCTTCTAAGGAATTTATTTATTTCGTTGTTGATGTAACAATATGTTAATTATCAAATTCAACATCGTTAAAGATTAAATTCACTATATTGTAGGTAATCAGTTGAAAATATATTGCTCATGAGTGTCTCACAATATTCTCACATAACGTATTACATGCATGTAGCGTTTCGTATTTATTGGAAATAAATATAAATAATTGGAAATATTTCCTCACCTAAGATATTAAATGCACCTAACATCTATATCCGGAGGAAGTACATATAAATTAAGTTTGCAGACTCTTACAATATATATTGAATGTTTGGGAAAACAATTTTTCATAGGTTTTTTATAATGTTTTTCACTATGTCGCTTTTCAAAAACCTTTGCATGTCGACTTCTTTCATTCAAAGTTACCAAAGGTGGGGTTTATCAGGGTGGTAATATTCACTGTGAGGAATGAGCGGTTTTACTGGATGGTGGACATTGTCATACGATTATATATAGTTGCTTACAAGATTAGGTTGTCCGATTTCTTGATATGGTTTGCTAAATCCTATTGGTTGGCAAATGATATTTTGATTTAAAATTCTATATTTATTATTTAAATCAGGAGCAACAACGTACATCACTTGTTATTAATAAATTATGATTTATTTTTAATTTATGTTTTACATAAAAAAAACATATAATATGGCAAATATTCATGTTGAAATAAGAGAGAAATGAAAGTTATTATGAATTTATGCTTTAAAATTAATGTAATCATTTACGATTTAATGTAAATATTTGTTTATTTGAATTCATCATATTATTTTTGTTTCTAATATATGCAAATATACAATTATAAAAGTTGAGTCATCAAAATAATACATACTAGTGAATTGTTACATTACATTGCATTACATAAATAAGTAAATAAGCAAGAAAACCAACTAAATAGTCATTTACGATTTAATGTAAATATTTGTTTACTTGAATTCATCATATTATTTTTGTTTCTAATATATGCAAATATACATTTATAAAAGTTGAGTCATCAAAAGAATCCATACTAGTGAATTGTTACATTACATTGCATTACATAAATAAGCAAGAAAACCAACTAAATAGTGTTAGTTAAGGACTTTGTTTTTTTTTTTTTTTTTAATATTCCTGTAAGATAAGGTTAGTAATAAACACAGTGGTTGAGGCTCGAGTTGGACTCGATTTCCTTAAACAGATTCGTCGTATGTTCCCATGGTACAACAACCTTAACAGTGTGTACTGACGGATATATCCACTTGCCTGAAAAAATCGTTGTAAGAAGGTGTACATAGAAGGATGAGGAATAAGAGTATTTTCATTCGTGTGTTGAATGAGACATTTGATGTCTCCTGTTATAGTTGAACTTGTAACAGCAACAAATTAATTCGTCATAAAGGAATTAATTGAGACATTAAATGCCAATAAATGCCATTAAATACATAATTGATGCATCAATTACAAAATTCAAACTAAGGACCAAAACTGTCAAGTTTAGCAAAAACGAGGGTTGCGCGAGCCCGAGTTTTCGGAGCTGTATTCGTGTCCGCAGGTCGCGCCCATGCGCAAGTTCGGTGATTTTGGTCTATCACCGATCCAAGATTTGCACTCCCTTCATGCGGGTAGGTCTTGAAGTAAAACCATATACAAAACTTGTAAGCATTTCATGCATTCAAGCTTATAAACCTAGTTAAGTTTGGTCTTTCTACCAATATGGGACTCATTCTCACATTCATCTCTTTTGCTAGCTTTATTCTCAAATACATATCTTTGATTATCGATATCTCATTCACATACTCTCCATTTTGGACATATAATATATTGTTTCGAAGTTCTCACAGAGGAGAACACAAACCCACTTAGAGTTAATTATGTAACATCCTGGAATTTACAGGTATTTTCGAATCCTCCCATCATTAATATTTTTTTATTTTTAGTCCTTGGGGATGGAAGGGTGTACCCATGAGATGCCCTAATGGCTAGTATTGCAATTTTGGATCAAGAGGAGTACGCTGCGCGTACATAAGGGTACGCTGAGCGTACTAGGCATGCCCTAGCGCGTACATAAGGGTACGTTAGGCGTACACTTGTGTACGCTGGGTGTACACACGTAAGATGGAAACCCTAATATTTAGGGTTTGGGTGGTATATAAGTATCCTTATGAGCTCATAACCCTCTATCATTTCAGCCTCCACAGTCTTGAGCCGTTTTCCCCAAACCATAACCCCTCTATTGAGTGTATGAGCTAAAAGTGTGTGTTTTGAGTAGTAGAAGAAGAAGAAGTTGCATCAAGGAGTTGGAGAAGGAAGGCTAGCTTGAATATCTAAGATTATCTTGTCCTCTAGAAGCTCCAGGAGGTAAAAAGCTTCTGCCTTTATGCTTATATGATGTAGATCTTGCCTTGATAGCTTTATGGCACCTTTCTTGTCCCAAAAAGTCCCAATATTGTGCATGTTGTGTTTTGGATATGTTAAGTTGTCCTTTCAGACCCTAGGAAGGGTTCTAAGTGATAAAATGAGGTCCTAATGGCTAGAAGTGTTCCATGCAAGTGATAGAGAGGTCTTAATGGATTAAGACCTTGCATTAAGAAATTTCTGGACGTCCAAAGTTTTAAAGTTTGAGACTTTATGGTTCTAAGACACATTTGGTCGATGGATCTGGAATATGGTCTTAAGTGCTTAAGCCATTAAGCACTTATTAGGGTTTTGGACTCACCGAGGGTACGCCCCGCGTAGAGGGCAGTACGCCCCGCGTACGCAGTCAACGTCCCCGCTTTCCAGTCAACACGAGGCTCGCGTACGCCCCGCGTAGCTTCGGAGTACGCCTATCATACGTCTTTTGTTGGGCTTTTGCGATTTGGGCTTTGGGATTGGGCCATCTTTGGGCCAGTGGGTTTGGACCCTTAATGGACTTTCTGAGTAGATGTGTTTTGGGCCAATTATAGGAATGAATCTTAGGATGAGGCCCAATTAGAGACTTGGGCCTAATTTGGAAAATTGGGCCAATTGTGGGCCTTGTATATTGGGCTTGTGGATTAGGGATTTGGAGTTGGGCCTTGGCCCAACTTAAGGAAAGGATAGAATGGACTATTACCCTATGTTTGGGCCCTTAGTCAAGATTGATATCCCAACTGTTGATCGGTGTTCATTTTATTGTGATAGTTCAAGATTTTTGGTGAGTCAGCAGCCGAGGGTTTTCAGTTCAGTTCGACATCGTGAGGTGAGGTCTTCTCATTATATCAACAGGGTCTAAGGCACCAAGGCCGGCCCTTTTTGGATTGTATCCTGGTTATAGGATGATGCTATGTTTAGTGATCTGTTGGATATGTATCCTGGTTATAGGATGATGTTATGTTTAGTGATCTGTTAGATCGGTATCCTGGTATATAGGATGATGCTATGATTAGTGATCTGTAGATCTGTATGACTGTGTGTACATGCTAGCCAACATATGATATTTATGTGTTGAATGTGTGATTGCGGGTAGTTTGAGGCGGTCCTGCTTTGTGCTTTAGGCCAACATACCCAGGGCGGCCCGGATAGACTACAGACCCATCAGGGCGTACTAGTCAGGACGAAGGCCCGGAGAACGGTCCAGACATGTTGAAGGCCCGGGAGGGCGGACCATACATGTTGAAGGTTTTGAGAGTGGGCCAGATAGACTGATGGCCCGGTGAGGGCGGTCCAGTCATACTGAAGACTCTGAGAGTGAGCCAGATAGACCGAAGGCCCAGTGAGGGCGGTCCGGTCATACTGAAGACTCTATATGCATGATGTTTGTTATGATATTGTTCTGGTTTGTATGGCGTTGGTATTTTGGGGGAACTCACTAAGCTTCTGGCTTACAGTTGTTGATTGTGTTTCAGGTACTTCAGATGATCGTGTGAAGGCGAAGGCTTGATCATGCACCTCCTCACTTTTTATGATTTTGATTTCTGGGATTCTCTGATATGAAACTATTTTTAAAACATTTTGTAATAACTGTTGGTTTTTGGATGTTTGAAAAAGTTTTAAATTTTTATGAATTTTATGGATGTTACAAATTATATA